GACATCAAATAGTTAAAATTAACTCTTCATTGTCTAACGCTGTCCCAGTTAGAAGTGGTGTAATACAAGGTAGTGTCTTAGGTCCTTTGCTCTTTTTAGTGTTTATCAATGATATCTGTGAAAGTTTTTGTGTCGGTAAGCCCCTTCTATATGCAGATGATCTTAAGGTAGTATATTCATTTTCTCCACATGAGCCGAAAAATATGCAAAATTGCATAAGCACGGAGCTTAACAAGGTAGCACAGTGGTGCCTAAAATGGTAGCTGGAGCTTAATACGGCTAAATGTGTGTGGATATGTTTCGGCGATACATCACTGAACCTAGACATTACCATAAATGGAGAAGTGTTATGTAGGTTACATACAGTAGTAGACTTAGAACTTAGACATTCCCAAAACTTGTCGTTTACAGAACATATATTAAAACAGAGCTCTAAGTCTCAACATCTAATAGGTTATATAACTCAAAATCTTTACAACAATGAGTCACGTATTCTAATGTACAAAGTTTGTGCTCTACCTTTTCTAGAATATTGCACGTTTATTCTTAGCAGTGCGCTCATAAAGGATAAATTAAGGCTGAAATCAGTACAGAGACGATTTACATTTTGTATTCTTGGAGCTGATTGTACCTTAACTTATAATTCTAGATGTAATAAACCTGGTTTAGACCCTTTATGGAGGAGGAGACTCAAACTAAATCTTGTCTTTTTCTTCAAACTACTTGAAAAACTATCGTTTACATCCAATCACGCGATTCAATATACAGAAACCTCTCATTATGACATCCGTAATTCTTTGGTACTAGTGAAACAAACTCATTCTAAATCATCTCTTTATATGAATTACTTCACCTGTAAACTTTCTAGACTCTGGAATAACCTACCACAATCTAAATCACTCCCATTATTTGTTCGCTGCATCGATGCATACTGTTCCTCTGAAAATGCATTGACTGGTCTAGCGCCTTCAAGTGTATCTTATTCCACAAGTGATATTTTAGGAACCTTAAATGTTTAGCCATCTTTATTAGTGAATTCCCTGAGTAAAACCACCCACTTACTGTCAATATGTTAACACCGCCCCTAGCAACTTTAACTAATTAGAATAACATAAACAGTATATCACTGTGTCACATGACACACGCATTTAGGTAGACCTGATTCATATATTTTGGTAATTACTGCTTTGTTTTTCCGTGCTCTGTGTTTTCGTTTTAATTTCTCTAGTTGTAGATAATTATCATTATTTCGGTCTGGCACACGAATTGACTTTAATTACTCCGTTAATAAATCAACAGGCTGTCCATTTAAGAAATATTAAAAATTCCCGGCTGATGCATTGGATTGCTGTAATATATGTACTACTTAAACAACTATTGAACTAGTATACTTAAAACTTTCTTTTATCACATGTTTTTTCTGCACGTCTAACGTTACTGTTTATATCAAATTGATCATGCCTGTAAACTGGCGTGAATTCTGTAATTATTATTTTCAGAATATAAATTATTATATTCTGTGGAATAATGAACATACACTGAAATTCCTTAAAATATTTACTTCTTACTCTCATACTTATTCAATACATGAAAAGGTGTCGCTATTTCATCCATTATCATGATTATATAATTATTGAGTGATTTCACATGACTGTTTATTCTAAAAAAAGGTTAGAGTGATAAACAGATTTTTGTTTTCTAGAAGAAAAATTTTCAGATAATGAACGTCATTCTAATTTTATTCGCTTGGTAGTTATTCCTTTTTTTTCTACTATTTCTTTAATAAATCTTTTAACTACCATTTTGAAATAATAAAAATAAATGAAACTAGGTTATATATTTGTTATTGTCATTATTATTGTTACTATTATTATTATTATTATTATTTCTATTATCTTGGGAATTTTCATTCAAAAAGAACAATTATCTTTTTTTCAAAAACAGAGAAGAATATAAACAAATCAAATATAAATTACAATCAGTGACAAGTAATTACAAAAAAAAGTAAAATACAGTTAGAAAAATAAAGTGAATTATAATCAAAAATTCTTATCTACTTGACCCATCAACTTTCCTCACTCATCATAATAACTATTACATTCGATCCAATCAAAATAATTTAGTGTTTATATATTATATTAATATTATTTAACTGAATGGAAAAGATCATTTATTTAGGGTTTCTTCCATAATTTACCCGTCTATTCATTTATTGATTTTATTTTTCTTGATGGTTAGTTATTTTTATTTTTTTAGAATAGTGATATACCTCTTTTAAGATATATATATATATATATATATAT